TATGTGCTTTCGTTCACGCTCACGCATATTTCTGACGAACAAAATAATTAAAAGTGATTTCTTCAACTCGCCTTCGTATTTGAGTGGGAATTTTATCATAAAATCTTTTTAAGAATGAGAATATTCCCACTTCTTCTGAGCTTGTTTTGTGATGATTATTTGCGGGTTTTGTGTGTAGCCTCTGGAAACTCTGCTCTTAACTTAAAGTATAGCAGAGAAAAGACCGGACATCTAAAGACAAGAAGATCCTGGGCGAGCATCATTATTTTTGTCCCGTATCTTTTGTGCTCTTATTTTATTTAAGGGATCCGCGATACTACACAACACCCTTCCAGCACGTTCTAGCTCCCCCAGTTATTCTATACAGCTAGAGTGTTTTGTTAAAATGTGGGCCTTACATCTAATATAAGTTTATATAACAGACAATGTGAAATTTCATTCGCTAAAAATAGAGAGTCCTCTCGTCCGAGTTAAAGGCCACGGCAGCTGCACATATGAGGCGCACCGAGACACCGAGCCTTATAAAACGGCGCACACACTAGGTATTCGTGTTCGCTGCATTCAGTTTGGACTATATATTTTCTGAATGGGAATAAATGCCCCCAGTCACATAACATGCGAAACTAGAGGATCCGTTACGAAGGGCTCAGTGCTCTTGGTGACCTTTGTGGACTTGTCGCCTTCAAGGCTATATAGAACTGATTTCCTTAGCGCCGACGTTGTTTGCCGTTGTGCAGGCCGATCAAGGATAAACTGTCCAACAGGAACGCAGCCAGACGCCGGGGGGGGGGGGGGGGGGTCATCCATACGTTATGAATGTTCGAACGTATGTATGCGTGGACATATACGGAATTGAGACTGAAAACTGTAGACCCCCCTCCCCCCTTGGTATACGCCCCAGGTGACTAAGAAAGGTCTAAAGCACAACCAAAGAGCAAGCGTTCAAAGACAGCGGGTAATCTTTCGAATGGTTTTAGCGGTGTGTTACAGTAGATGCCGCCTTTTGTGAATGAACGCAAACCGGGTTTGCGACGCTGATGCCATAATTAGCGACATATTGGCAATCCACAACAGGACGACACCGGAAAAGCGGCCGCCCGCGTAGTACTCCGCGTGCACGACGTCCTTCGGTTTCCTGTTAGACCGCATTTAGCTCACACGAATGCGATAGCAGGCTTCCGGTCGACGCAGGCGTTCGCTCCCGTACTGAACGGAGTTGCGCCATCATAGGTCGTGCACGCTAACAACTTGAGCTTTCTTCCTTTTTGTTTTTTCTTTTTAGGTTTGAAGAGGGGGGGAGGACGGGGTTAGCGACGAACAGCACATAGAACTGAACAAGAAGCTAAGCTTTTATAATTTGTGGCTAAGTATAGTATACAATGTGGGAGTTTATTACACGCACAATCTTTATCTGTACATCATGATCATCATGAAGCGTCTGGTTATACAAGAGGTTATACTACAACTGAAGTTTTAGTATAACTTCCTTGTTGGTTATGCATCCTCGTCGTAGTCGCGTATCACCATTATCGATGCGGGTTGACTGCATATATGTTGGCTGCCAGGTTCTCGGGCCAAACAAACGTCGTCCAAGTGGTGGAGGTGCGGGGTTGGCGACAACACCGACAATTATAACAGCTGCTGGGAATAAAAGTTCTCAAACGATGTGATTGAGGGACACCGTGGTGGAGGGCTCCGGAAATTTCGACCACCCGGAGTTCTCGAACGTGCACCTGAATCTAAGTAGGCGGTACGTCACCGGCCATTCGTATATGCTTTTTCGTTAGGCAAGTCTAGGATAAACCATGATGGGACTTTCTAAAGCCACACCATGCAGTTTCTTGCCCTTACATCTACTCTATCTCCGTCAAATATAAAGAGGGAAATCATTATTTATTTATTTGCAATACAAAATAAAAAAAATATTGACGCAATCTTTCCGGAACGGGAGGTCTGTCAGCCAAAAAAGAAAAAAAAAAGCATTTTGCTACTGCAGGATTAGAACGGACATTTGAATCACTTGGTTCAGGCGACGATTCAGGTTATTCGAAAATAAGAGCGGTCGTTTCTTCACCTTCTTCGTCAATTATCAAAAAATTAGCTATCATCAATTAGGTTAGCTTTCCCTTCTTGTGCCAGGAAAAAATGCGACGTGTTACTGCTACTTCCACGCGGAGCTGTGAGAGACATCCACGCGCCGTACACTAGCATTTTATCTTATTTGGCTATCAGTCACGCATGCGTATTTAAGTGTGCGCGTGTTTGCGCGCTTCTGACATCCGAACGCTATTTTTTGCCTTTTGTTACGACACTTACTCGTGTGTTGCTGATAAGAAAATTAAGCTTTGTACAAATATCCAAGTTGAATGCGACTGACGGGACCTCCGCATAAACTTGCCAGTGGTCAACTCAGCATGTCACGCCATAAAACTACTCTTCGGTAGACAGAAAGCGAGTTGAAGATGTGCAACATCATGTGGTTGGATGTCTTGAATAAAGATATCTACTTCCATGTAATTTTCACACTATTGAAGGCAACGCATTGCCTCTCTTGGTTACCACTACTTCTTTTTGTTCGTGTAACGGTTGTGGATGGACTTGCAAAAGGACAAACTAATGAACAATATAATTTATAACCCCCTCCCCATTATAGATGCAGCCTTATGCTACATAGCGGCGCCTTTTACGCAATACTAGGGAATTTTCGAATAGGGCCCCCAAGCCCTTTGCGTATGGACGCTTTGGGTCAAGCAAGACCGATTAGTTTTCGACTTTATTGCATGTCACTCTAGTCTTGGTCAAGAGCTGTCACTTCAGTGGGTGCTGTCACGTTCGTCTGACCCAGAACCTTTGGGGCAGGCATTGAGGCTCCCGCTAAATTCTAGAAATAGCATCCGCAACCTAAAACCCAAACGCGGTTAGGGTTTCACGCATGCGCAGTGGCCTTGACGCTATTTCTTTGGGGGCTCCAAAACATTTGCAATGGAACTGCATCGCCGTCAGGGTGACGCTTCATTCTTTTAGATCCATAGGCGTGCGCGGAGTTCCCCTTCGTGGGTAGAAAGGCGAAGGTTTGTCGCATTGCCCCACTGCCTATTACGTCAGTGTACGGGGCTGACATTGCGCCCCCCTCCCCCATCGAGGAGTCGCAGCGGCCCCCCTCCCTATCATCACAATGCGTGGGGTCGAAATTACGTCGTTCCCCCACACCTCCGAATCAAGTGACTAGTGGGAGGGGGGTCTCACGCCTCCACCCCTCGTGCACACGCATATGTTTAGAACAATCACTGTGAACGCTGCTGGCCATAAAAACAAAACAAATTGATTCGTCAGCGTCGGAATTCCCTGTCTCCTCTGACTTAGGCGCACTGCACACAATTTCTTTTTATCCTTTCACCCCTGAAACGGATAGCTAACACAAGTATAGCACCATTCGCACAGAAGAATGGCGGAGTGATTTTTACCGAAATTCAGCGCCGGTGCAGTGACTCGACTGATATACCACCAGGAACGTGGGAATGGGATCACAGACAGAGGAAAGGCTGCAACGCGAGATCGACCGCGCCGCTTCATTCTTTGTCCGCACTCACCGCCCCGCCTGCGCACGACCCACATATCGGCCCGTCGCAGTAAAGAGGCCACATCGCCCTTCACACCACGTACAGCGCGCCAGACACCATATACACCCCCAGGTTAAACTTTGTGCCACTAACTTCCACTCTTCTTTTGTTCGAAAATATTCGGGGAATAAAGTCCCGATTTCATACCAACTCATTCACATTTTCGTGAAACGCGAAGTCTTTTTTTGATCTCTCCGATCCTGAAAGGATGCGCCTCCAAGCCATATAGTTTATTTGGCGGGGGAAAGAAAACCTTTGAACGAGCGCAGATACTTAAGGATACAAAGTGAGCCGTGGCAGTAGGCAAATACTTTTGCCACAGTGATGAACCGCTTTGTTAGGTTGTTAGTGCTGCAACTGTACGACGAAAGAACACCAGCGATAAAAAATTGCTTGCAACAGTTCTCTCACTGTATAAACCGCTGGCATCCCGCAGCTCAGACTATTTCGCCTGTGCCAGAGTCCTCCACTACGGAGCCAATCATAATAATACCGTGGTTTCAGGATGTAAAAGCCAAGCGTATTTGTGACGGCCACTAAAATCAGACCCTTAAGGGCACTCTCTTCACTCTACCTATAGCATTTCAAAACCTTGACTTATCCAGGCGCAAACGATGTAGAGATTTAATTAAGGAAAGGAAAAGGCAGGTGAAACTGTTTTGCCCGAAGCAATGATCGAAGCTAACATAAAAGCCTTCTGCTTGAAATAGAAGTGCTGGTTACGGCATGGTGGAAAAAGTCAGCCCAGCACACACACCAATGCAGCCTGCACTACTAGAATTACTCAAAAATCAGTGCTGGAATTTCACTGAGAAAGTGGCGTTGCTTCACAGCAACCATTTCATGAGAACGATTTCTCATCTAAAATGTTAAAATCAGAAGGCACACAGTCACTGAATAGATGTACACAAAGACATATTATTTCTATCATTCCAGTGGCTGTGCACTCATTCATATACTTTCTGTGCCTTATACACCTTCCTTCCATTGTGCAGCCCATTCTTTCAGCCTAGTTTAGTTAGCTTACAGTACCTGTGGCAGACCCACAGTGGAGGAGTAAGGGTGATTGCCCCCTCCCCAAAAGAAGTCTGTGACTCAGAACACACACACCCTCCCTTAATTGCCTGTCGTCCACCACTGAAGCCACAACAAATGAGTGTGACCACTGCGAGCCCCGAGTTACAGTACTTATGCTGTGATGGGGTTCCTGTGATGGTAGTAACTAGTAAAAACAAAAATGTCATGACTCCCCCCTCCCCCGATTCCTTCTGCAGTTTTACTTCAAGCGACTTTCCGTGTCCTGAAATAAGTGGCTGAATGCACCTCTGTACAAAACATGCCTGCTGCAGTATAGTCGCAAAAAAGTTGGCACTTGGCAACTGCTATGTGAAAGCAAAGTTTAGTTTGCCATAGCGTTTATCATACATTTTTTAAACAACCGGTACCAGTTTATGTGTAAATACACTATAATATCAGGAACACTGTTTAAAACTAGCACACAAGACAAGTAGAAACCCTATAATTTACTGCGCAACACATCAAACAAGATCTGACAACAGTGAAATAATACGATAAAGAAGCTATTATGAGTACATAACGAACTGGCATTGAAACCTTTAACCATGATGACAAGACAACATAATGACATAATAAGCAGTCTGCTGTGAGATACCAACCTGTCAAATTGCTCATGATTTTTAGCCAGTGTACCAGATTTGTTTAAAATGAACATACAGTGCACATTGCATACTGCTATCTACTATACACAGGGAACTAATTTATTAAATAAACTTCACTTTCATGTAATGTAACTAAAGCAATATATCTTCTTCCACTAAATTTCATGTTTTGTGAAGTAATGAAAATTCTTCAGATAGATTCTACACAGTATACCTACAATCAGTTTTCCATAAATGAAAAATGCAGGTTTGAGCACTATTTAATTGCTTTTTTTATTTTTAACTTCACTTTATGACTTTATTTAACAACCTTGCATGTTAAGTGGAAAAAAAAAGGTGATTGTGCTAACACAGCAAGATCATGTAACTTGGAATTGCAGAATTGGGAACCTTCAGGAAGCTCAGCAGACAAGGAACCACTAGTGATAATCCTATACTCATATGCAAGCGAATGTAATACACCTAGACACCTTGATATCACCAAAAGCCAACCAGCGGAACTTTGAGCATAACTGCTTGAGAACCTGGTAAATGTGCAATATATGTGTAAGAACATGCTCGCAGGAAGTGCATTTCTCAAGTGCAAACATTATTTTTTCCCTGAAGCCACAGTGCCAGTTGCAGCATAATTCCTTTTATATTAATGAGTTTTACTCAATGGCACAAATGTACTGAACTTTTTCACATGCTACCCTGTTATGGACTGTATCTGAAATGCATGTTTCATTTCATTATGCTCCATGCATACACCCTCATCAAATCAAAGGTTTTTTTCTTGTTTCTGTACAAGACACAGATGATAAAGGGCCTGCATCTATTATTTGCATAACTAAAAGAAAGCCTACCATACTTACATCTACCAACTCGTGCAAAAAACTAGGTGACAATGGCTCCATCCAAAGAACTGAATACAGCACATAAGATTTCGGTAGCAAAGTATTCACAATGCAACATGCATCTCAAATGCTATCTTATGACACACTTGCCAGCATTCTCCTTTTCGCCTGCAAGTCTCGTGTCGTATGGTGTCTCCTTCCATAGTGCAGAATGTATATGGTCATTGCTTCATCAATTACAGAGTCTGCACTCTTTATGAGGTGATCAATCTCCTCAGCTGAAGCTTCTTGGCGGATCGCCTGGGGCACAGCGTTGACAAGCACATCGGACATCTTCTGCAGCTCATTGGCGAGCTCGATGCTATTCTCTCCATATATCTCCCGGATCGCGTCAACAGCAGGACTTAGCACTTCGCACGCTGATCGAAAGTCACCAATAGCACAGAAGCATTTCGCAACCATATCCTTGGCTTCCAGAAGCTTCAGGTTGTGTTTAAACATCAACTTCTCTCGTGTCTTCAAACACTTGTTAAGGCGTTGCAGCGCCTCCAAGTGGTTTCCCTTCTCAGCTAGTTGCACGCCTTGCACATACAGGTCATGCATTCGAAACGCCTTCTGCTCCCGTGCAAGGCACTCTTGAGTGGTGCCACAGTCCAGGCAGGCAGCCTTACCACTATCGTCGGGTGTGTTCAGAGGCCCATCGCAGTATTCGCACTTGAAAGCCTGCAGGCGCTGTTCAGCATCCTCACCAGAGCCACAAGCAGTGCAGTTGCAAGTGAAAAAGTACTGCTCTTGGAGTGCCTGGCGCCGTTCAGAAAAGGACATTCTCTGGTAGTGAGGTCCATAGCAATTCAACACTTCTTCTCCGGCTGCAATATTCCTTACAGCTCTCACCACAAGAGTTGAGCCAAATGGAAAGTTTGAAATGATGTTGGGGTTGCAAGCATGGTTCATAAGGCTAGCACTTGGGTAGATGGCAGTGGCTATGCGAACTTGCTCTGTCGTGACCACAACGTCATCCTCTTGCATCGTTTTTGACTCCAGCGAAGTGATTGCATGGGCGTTGCACACAAGCTGCTGAATGTGGCGTAGCAAAAGCCCTCCTGTGAGAGTTTTCAATGCGGCACTACTGTGTTCCTTTACACCAAAGCCACTCGACCCATTTCTTCCAGTGAGACTCAGTGCTGAAACTTTTGAAATCGCTTCGTCGAGGCCAAAGAACTGGACCTGATCCAGGAGCATATAGAGCAATGCCGCGGTCAGGGAGTATTGTAGCATGTCATCAGCATACATCTTGTCATCATGCGTAACCAGCTCATACACAGCGTTATAGGGAAATTCATCGACATTGTCATCTCCGGCAGTGAGTGCTCTAGAAAAGTGGTAAAGGTTGGTCAGACCAGTCACAAGAATTATCCTAATAGCCAAATGAGCAATTCCTACCGAGTACAAAAGGTTCAGGTTACCACACTCCCATTGGTGGTACTGACTCCAGGACTCCTTCGCGCAGCTGAAGGAACAGTACCGTACCTGGTTGCACTGTGAGCACGGAACAGCGTTTTGGAGCCTTTTGTGACAGTGATGGCAGTGGGTTTTTGTGTGACCAGGCAGCAGAACCGAAGCGTAAGGTTTCTCGACGAAGATTGCGTCTCCCGTCCGCAGCTCCCTGTTTGCCACCACAAAACGTCCCCTCTCAGTACTGTACAAAATGTCCACGCCGCTAGTGCAGTTCGGCACGGAATCGTGAACGCCGTGAACGACACTAGGCACCTGCGATTCATCGTCCGGGTCATCTTCGTCGCTCGGGACTGGCGGTGTCTTGTTAGCAGTACACGCTTGCTTGAATATGTCGATTTCCTTCAATTGTTGCGCGTGTTTCCGGCTGTCCAATCCCGCACGCCGCAGCACCTTGCCGGCCAAGTCGAAATTTTCCAGCGCTTCTCTGGGCTTTCCGAGGCGAAGGTAGCACTGTCCTTTCCGCAGGTACAACTTGTAGCGCATGTGGTTCGGGTAGCCGAGCTCGAATGCGTAGCGGACGTCAATCAAGGAGCGTTTGTACTTGCCCGCGTGGAAGTAAGCGGCGGACCGATTCGCGAATCCAAGCGACATTTCTTCAGCGTGTCCCTCGGCGTCTGGCGTATCTGGAAAAGGAGCCGAAAGGATGCTCTGCGTATAGAACTCGGCGGCTTTGGCATACTGCTTGCGGTTGAAACAGATGTTTCCCTCGCTTCGTAGTTCAGAAGCCTTCTCCCAAAATTTGCGGTGCTTAGAATGAGCAAAGAACTGCCAACCAGTGCTTGATGCGCGGGTTGGCTACTTCGTGGCGCAGGCAGAACCTCACTCGCTCTTCATTTGTCCCAAGCGCGCTGAAGACGGCAAAACCATTCCCCTGGCGTATCCGTTCCGTGGTGCTGTCGAGAACGTCCTGCCAAGTTTCAATCTTAGACATGGTGACAAGGCGGCTCTCAGGTACTGACCTTAGGCGAATGAACGGCGGCGAACAGTACTCATAGCCCGCACACCACAAGCGAGGATGGTTTGACCAAGCGAGCAGGCCTGCTTTTTGACACGCGATCGCCACACACTTGCGCGCGGCAACGCCGCACTGTCAACGGCACACCAGAGCACACGTGACTTCTGCGCTGAAGGTCGTCCGTTGTTTTGGTCACAACGATTTCGGTGTGCCCAGGACGTGCTCGAGCTGAGTGCGGCCTTCACATCGCCCGACGCAACGGCCAGCGCAACAGGTTTGACTCGCCACGCTCGCCACACGACACGGGAAAAAACAAATAAAACGTTGACTTTCACGTTTGGATTGGCTACAACTCCCTGCGGCTAGCATCGGCTAGCAACTTGGCTTGTTGCCAGACGGGCACTATAGTATATTCTAGGCCACGGAGGAAGGAAAGGTGCCTCTTTCCTTCCTCCGGGTTCCTGGCACTATACGGGCACTGTTTAAGGCCACTGACAGCGCTCGTACGCTGGGCTCCGAAAGAAAGCACAATCAGAGCAACTGCGTTTATTACGCCAATGTTGTCCTCATTGTCCACCTACTGCGCGCAAACGGAATGCAGCAAAGCGCTGTTTAGTATTGTTTGGAAGGATGCATTGTTGCACAACCTACTTCGAAAAAATTAAAGCAATCATATGACCCTTAATGCCACGTTTAGGTGTGACCTAAATGTACTCTCCATCACGGCGTAAAAAAAAAAGAACGAATTATTGTGACTTAGGCATTGTCAACGGTCATTCTTTTGTTCCGTGGCTTCATTGGAATGAGACGTGATTATTAGAGCCCCTAGACTTCCACTGAGATTCCGGGCACGATGCCCGCCTGTGCTTATTTTTCCGTGTAAATTCAAAAACGGATACTTCGTGATGCCAGATCACGAATTATCTTAACAATAGAACTACGTTTTCAAGTAATTTCACAACGACCCGCGGGAGCACTATGGGAAAAGTTGGTACGCCGAGAGAACCGGCTCTTCCTCTGCCCACTGCTTAACTTAACTTTATTAATCAACTGTAAAAACGCTCCGTGGTTGTCAGTCTTCCATGCGGTTCTTTGTGACATGCGCGATGCACTCCCATTTTCTTATATCTCTTTGTTAACACGTGCGATAACCTTTCAGTCATGAGTGGCGTTTGCGGTGTGCATGTTTATTATCCGGTCCTACTTCTTTCTTTTTGCCCTGTAGGCTTTACTAAACCTGCAGTTACACTGCGAAGGGAATTTGGTAATGCATATGCTGCGAGCGGCGCCCAGTGGTCTAGTCAATGTACTTCATTTTACAAAATTGCGCGTAATTCTACAGCACTCCTGAAATATACCAGAACCGCACAATTTACTCGTAAACAGCGTCAAAGAACACTGATTCCTAATGCATCCGTGAATTTATGGACAGTGCTTGCACCTTTTAAGCAACCAAGCTGTACTGTTGTTGTTTTTTTAATTTATTTATGCCGAAGGCGGACTGACACTTAAGGATAATAGTACTAAACTGACGCTTTTGAGCCGCTCAGCAGGTTGAGCAGGGGGACAAATGGAAATCGTAGACAAGCCATCGCACCGAAACGCTGAAGTTCGTGAGTAAATCACGTGGTAATATATGCCACCTTTTCGAGTTCACTTGACTTGAGAAGCGCTGGCACAACGCCAACGGAAAGTCGAAGCGTGAGGCCCGCGCGCTTGTCGCGGCGGCTGCTGCGGCGTATCAGCTTTTGCCATAAGCGCTTGCGCACCCGTTGGTGGCGCTAGAGGGCTTGAAAAAGGTCTATTGCTTACAACACCAACTCCTCCTCTATTTTATAATAAAGGAGGCGCTGACAGCATAATAGAAACAACTCGCCCGCGGTATATTGAAACCATCTCGCTATACCTGCATTTATTTAAAGGAGCGATGCATTTTTGCAGTAAGAGAAAGTTAACGAAGTTCGTGAGTATTCATTCTGTTGTTAGTCGGCGTTTGTGGTGCCGCGACTTCTTTCGTGTGTATGGACTTGCACGCAAAATATACTAGCGCAAAAAGCGGACGGAAACTATGCGAGATGAGATAAAAGGACAAACAAGCGCAGACTATCAACTGAAGCTTTATTGCAAGACCAAGCCATTGTGTAGAGGAAATTATAAAATGCAAGGGAGGGAAAAAAAGGAGGAGAAAAAAGGCGCGAGAGACCAAATCAACAAAAACCTAGGCCACATCAGGAATATCACGCGCGTCATACAAACCTAAGAATGCTTAACTCTTTATCATGTACAGCCAGAGTTAAGCATTCTTGGTTATGGGAAGCGATACGAAGTGATGGTTCTGTTTTCAATCCATATCACTACACTGCTAGGGCATTACTCATCATCCCCCGCCCCTTTTTATTTACGTACACTGGCCACAGAATTATCTGTATACATACCGCTAATTTCTAATGTCATTCTTTTTTCTTCAGAGCTAGTAAGCGTACGTTCTTCCACCTACAGAGATAAGGCGCGCTGTAAGAAACTTTTTTCATGGGGGGGGGGGGGGGGTGCTTTTTTGATTTTGTAGAGGGCCTGACCTCGAAATGGTCCTCTTTCGCTCTGTATGCCATGGCGAAAAAAATTGGCGGGGGGAGGGGGAGCCACTCTCCGGCTACGCCCCTGGTAGAGGTGTAGCATCGTATCGTTTCGATTTGTGTAGGCAACGAACGGTGGAGAAACTAGAAAGTACGCGGCGCCATTTAGTCTGCAACTGTGGCGCTGTCGTAACACATAAGCCGCCAACAACGAAGTTTTCAAGACCGACAAACAAAGTACTTCCGCATATTTCCCGCGTTGGTGGAATTGATGCTAAGCAGCCAGCGAGTAGCCTGTGCCACTTTGTGTTACTGTGTGAATAAACTTTTCTGTAATTTGAGTGATGCGTACATCATGGGCTTACTAGACATATTGGCTACCTTAGCTCACTTCTAAAGGACAGCTTATTACCAGGCCTAACGCCGGCGTGCACTCACGTTACAAGCAATTATAGGCCGCCTTTATCTAAACAAGCAGGAACGCGAAAATTTACGGCTAAGCAACGATCCTCGCTTGTTGCGAGTCTCTTTACTACTCACCAGTAAAGAAATCCTGGCGCTGCTCTTGCTTCCGCGGCTCAAGATGATGGGCTGTTCCCGCGGGGATAGATAAGCAAGGGAGCTGAATGGGGCCTCTGTGAACGCAATCTGTGAACTCTGTGAATACTCTGTGAACGCAATCACTCTGAGAGAAGTAACTCAATATAAGTACCTCGGTTTATGGATAACTAATAACCTTAATTGGTATAAGCACATTGATTTTGTGATTGCTGCCGCGAATAGAAAGCTTTTCTTTCTTAGACGAGCGCTGAAACTTTCCACTCCTGATGTTCGTTTACTTGCGTACAAATCAGTAGTTCGACCAGCATTGGAATATTGCGTCGTTATCTGGGATCCATACACAAAGACAAATATCAGCAGGCTGGAAAACGTACAAAAGAAGGCTGCGCGCTACATATTTAACAAATTTGGGCGCACTTCAGTTACCGCACTTCTACGACGAGCCGACTTACCGTCGTTAGCACTCAGGAATCTTTTAACGCGACTGAAGTGTTTCTATCAAATAATCAAGGGGCATTATAAAATAGATTTTTCAGATGTGATTTCATTTTCAGCTGGGTACGTGACCAGACAAAAACACCAACTAACAGTCACCCCCCATCGCACACGTACTAACTCTTATAAGTATTCCTTCTTTCCCAGAACTATTTCCGATTGGAATAAACTTCAGAATTCACAAGTTCTACAGCCTTCTCTAAGTATGTTTGAGTCCCACCTTAATTAGCATTGTATACCAATCCTCTGTTGTTGTATTATTTGTAACAACTTTTTGTACCCGAGAAGAGCCATTTCATCTGTGTTGAATTGTACAGTTGTTGTAAACCATGTATCCTTTTTATGCACTGTAATTCACCTGCTAAAATCCCTATCAGGGATTGCAGTATTTATAAAAAAAAAATGAACAGTGCAGAAACGCGACACAGCAGGGACCACGCAACGCAGGCGCTGTGCTGCGTGTTTTTTTTTTTTTCTGTGTCCCATTTTTGAGCTGCTTGAAGTAATATACGTGGTACGTGCCCTTTTTCTCGCCATTTTAAAAATAATAATTTCTTGAGATTTTGGCGACTACTGCACGAGTGAACGGTTTAAAACGATCTTTTCTTTTTCTGAGAACGACAGATAAAAGAAGCTGGTCCATAAAATTGTGACGAAAAATTCACTGTTGCCATTTGTACTTCACGTACACCTTCACTGAAAAGCATTATCGCAGATCACTTTTTTTTCCCATGCATTGTAACTGATTGCATGTTTGATAGGACAATCGCAAAAATAACGTAGTGCTCTCTTTCTTTTTGTTCATCAAGCACGTGAGCGGAGAAACTCATTGATTGCCGTCATTGATTGCATCGTTACTGTGGGAATTGAGCTGATATCGCACATCGCGTCGTCAACGCATATCAACACCGGCGAGCGCGTGCTGCCTCTTGTAATGAATGCCGTCGACCGGAAGCTCGTTGAAGTCATAATCATAACCTACAGCATTCCTCAACTTCATTGCATTGAACCCGCAAAGCTGCATTGTAGTCGCTGTAAAGTGCTTCATTGTTCTTTAGAGCGAAACAAAAAGCACGCAGGGTACGTGCACATCATGGTCTTTGTCGTCGCACCGTACTGCGGTACACACATAAAGAAGAAATGTACGTGAACGCAATCAGTACCACGGTATTTTCGAAAGAGCAAACAACGTATGCTGCATGCCAAATACTGTTCCCAGAATGTCGTTATCGCCAATACAGGCTGATAGGTTGGCATCGCACAACGTTTAGTACAGGACATCAGCCCAGTTCCCACAGCAACGATTAAATCAGCAGGCTTCCCGACAATGCGCGCACCGCTGTCCCGGACGGTGCGGTTCAACAACAGCGCTAGAGTGTAGACCATTCTAGTACACTCCAACCCCGCTCCTTCAGGAGCCTGCGTGAACTGCTGCCGGGCGCGCGACTGCAGCGCTGGCCGCACGGCGATGCTATGCGCTGCTAGATTATCCCTTAAAACTGACTGTATACATGCATGCTATCGGGGAGCTAAGGAAACGACGGAACACGATCTGATTGAATGCGGCCGTATCCACCCAGTGGGCACAAGCCTACACGAGGCTTTGGGTTTTAGGGACAAACATGGAAAGCTGAACACGTCCACGGGAGGTAAAGGACGTAA